TGTTTAAATTTTTTTTTTATTCTAAGTGAGCAATGCTTCAGTGCTTTACACAGAACAATGTTGTAACCTCTATATTACAAATATAAAAATAAAGTTTAGGAGTGGGAGGATGAGCCTTCTGGGCTTCCCCAGGGAAGTTCCTATGTCAATGCAATTGTTACTCTTTTTAATTTAAGCATCAGGAGGTCTTTAATAGGACTAATGGATGATCAATCCTGAATTTTATTCTCAGTAATAGTTCATTTCTTCCCTTTGCCAACTTGCCTTTTTTATGTCTCATAGTGGATTTTGTTTCTCACGTAAGGTAAAGTACAGTAGACATCTTTAACCATTGTTGCACTTACTGAAACCTTTTAATTTTCTGTTTACATAATAATAATAAAGCTAACAATCATGAGAATTTGCCACATAAGGCAGGTATTGCTCTAAAGGGTTCACATCTAAGTCTAGAGATGGGTAGTTATTACAGTCATTTTATGGATGAGGAAACTGGGTCATTGAGTGACCTTGCTCAAGGTCAGAAAGCTAAGTGATGGGCCAGGATTTAGAGCTAGATAGACTGACAGTGAAGGCCACATGAAAAGTTCACTATATGGTAGAACAATATGGTTACAATTCAAAGCCTCTAAGTCAAATGTTATTCTATGAGAGAAATGTGGAGATGGAGTCCTTTATCATTGTTGGAGTTCTGGTTCTGTCTTAAGAAGCCTTAAGTGCATGCTGCCTTCCTGGGGCCTTCCTGGGCAGCCATCTGATGTGGGAGGTTTTTAGGGGCAAGGAAAAATCCATATTCCAGAGCTCTGAGAACAAGCTGATGAGTCTTCACATTAATAGCATTCCTTAAAATGTTTGCTTGGTGCTTGTGATGAATTTGATTCTCTTATAATCTTCTTTTTTGGATCTGATCTATTAGGATTTATGATGATATCTTAAAAATGAAATCCAACTATGTTTTCTACACTTCCTCCCACTCATAAATCTTCTGTCATTGCTTACTTATCTCAGTTACATAAAAGGGCTAGAAAAAAAAAAAAGTTGGAAGGGCTAAATTCTTCCAAACTTGTGCCCACATTTAAGGCAACAGTCAGACATCAGAATATCAATACAAAGATAACATTTATGTCTGGGATAGTTAAGAGGTGCTACCAAAGAATTTTTTCATTTTTAAACATGTAGGTCTTAGCCTATTTTTTTCTTCTCCACATTTCTAAAATCTACTAGAATACATGTGTACCATTATCATGTAATGCACCCAAATGCAAAGAAATATAATACAGTGAACATAAAAATGTATGGAAAGCAAGCATCATTTCACGTTTATTTCCTTGTAAACCTGGACAATATATGTAGCTCTCTTGAATTTATTTTTTTATTAGTAAAATTAAGAAAATTCTATAGCTGTCCTTCAAGTGTGATAAAATTTCAAAATAATTACTAAGAAATTTTAGCTGAACAAAATGATACTGTCACCTATACTTCAGTCAGTATTTTCCATTTTCAGTGCTTTTTTTCAGGTGTGAGTTGCAAGGAAACAAACAAACAAAAATGATAAGTGTATATAACACATAGGATTAATATGATGTACTAAGCAATCTTGGTGCTGTGGCATGGAAGCAGTATATTCCAGAAACCTCTCCCATACTCTATACCTGCATCTGTGAGGCTGAAGGCAAGCATCAAAAGACAGTGTGTTTTACTGATTGGAAGATGCCAAGAAAGACATGAAAGCATCTCTTCAACGTTCAAATTGACGTCTAATTGTCATTTTCACAGGGAAGACTTGCCTGATCCCCAGGACCACAGGCTTCACAGAATTACATTCCTTTTCTTTAAGGACATAGCATAACCTGGATAGACATAACTTACTTTCTGTGGTTTTGATTTATGCTCAGATCACTAACTAGATTTCAGTTCAATGTGGGAATTTTCCTTTAAAATGCTCTCTTAGAATAATAATCTTTAAATATTAGTATATAACTAGTTAAAACATTTATACATTAATACCTTTAAATGACAATGAAGACCTAATATATATTGTGGGAAACAGTACACAGGACATAGATATCTGGAGGGAGGAAATTGGTGTAAGCTGAATAGTCAGAGAGTTTAAGGGAATGTGACAGAGAAGGAAGATGCTACTTAGTCAGGGGGAGTTAACAGTGTATAAAATGAGGAAAAGTCAGCACTACGGAGGAATGCCAGGTGAGGGTTGTTAACAAAAACCTTCATGCTCTCTACTCTTTTTCCAGGAATGAATCTTTTGTGGTTCTGTTACTGTAATCAAGAGGGCCCAGCTATTTAATTCTTTTGAGTCGCAAAAGAATTATTTGTTTCTCCACCAAAAAAAATAGAGAACAACATTTTACATAAATGTGTAGATTCCATATAACTTAGTCTTTCTTGTTTTTCCTCTGTTAGTTAATAGTTTGATTTTTCTTTTCTGTCTTTCTTTTTTTCCTGCCTGTACGTGTTGTCTCCTGGTTATAAGGACATGATGTAGTGTTCTTGTGTGCTGGCACAAACTGTTTCTTCCTATTGGCCATTGTTTCTACAGAGACTGCCTTCTATTTACCAGAACAGGCACAGTCTGGCATTTAGGCTGGGATGCCACCTCTCAGAACCGATGAGATGACATCCTGACTGATTAATTAGATATGTTTCATAACCTGCTATAGGAAAAGAGATTTGAGGACATTACACGTTAGTAGTATCCAGCTTGGTATTTTGCATTCTTCACTGTTCTTTTGCAATTAGGGTAGATGCCAGTTTTGCTTTTGTGACTCTTTTAAAATACTTCAAGGTTTCAAAATTAAAAGGAAAAAGAGCACTAAAAAAGTGATCCTAGAAACTAGAATCTCTTCATTAATGTAATCTTTTTTTTAAAAGGAATCTGTCCAAGTGTAAAAACAGTGGGAATGGCTTTGTGAAATGGAATCTTGTAGATGCATTTTAAACAAGTTAGTAAAATTTATATTAAAATACTTACAGTACAAAGATATAGTATACTTGGTATAGACTATATTAACTGCTTTTCAAATCATCTTAGTATAGCTGTGATTACTTAAATTCACAAACAGCTCTTCAACAATTTTATTTAGTCTTTAGAACAGTGAAAAAGCTAGAAGAATATTTTCATGATTTTTTACAAAAGAGCAAGTGCCCCCGGGAGAAATTGGCAGAGCTAAACACAGAGGCTTTTGTCCCTGTCCGTGTATGGTCTTGTGCACAGGGTCTTCTAGCTCTTTATAGCCCTTCTCTAAGTTCTATTGGACTCTGCCACAACGGCAGTGATTTTCTTTTTATCAGTGTTGTGTGCATGGGTAACGATGAGTAGGAGGCTTTAATGTGCTTTTGGAGAGTACACGACTTGTCTTAAGAGATGCTGTATAATGTAGTGGAGACTATCAACTGGAGCCAACCTCAGGGCTTTGTTTGCCACAGCTTGGCCCCATCGTCATGGTCTGACTGGGAAAGGTGACACTCTGGGCCACAGTTTCGTTCACTGATAAGTTGAGAATGAGAAAAGTGCTTATGCCAAGGGGACTCATTCGAGTCAATGAACAAACACAGGTAAAGCATAAAGCAGAATGCCAGGACAGAACAGGCACTTAACATGTTTCGTTACTGCTGCTGCTGCTACTACTGCTTAATGCTGAACTGTGTTTTTCAAAGTGGATATGTCTTTGTTTTTCAGTGTCCGGAAGGGGTTCAATAGTGTTAAGAACTGACTCCCCACATTTTTTTTTAAAGATTTTTTATTTGTGCATACAGAGCTGGGGTACAGGCCGGAGGTGCAGGGGTGGCAAAAGGATTTACCAGAGATAGAGTGGGGAGCAGACCAGGTGTATCGTCGAAGTACACTGCTGAGGGGAGCAGTGGGTGAGACTGGAGAGGTCTGCTGCACCCTGTGGATCACCTCCAGGGGCCGGGGTTCAAACTTGCCCTGACGTGGCTGCGGCTAGCTTGCAGTGCTGCGCCCTAATCCGCTGTGCCACCAAGGAGGGCCTGACTCCCCACATTTTAATGGTGTAGAGTATTTTTCTTTATCAAATTTGTATCTGACAGGGCTAAGTCTCTAGAGTTTAGTTTTAAGCTAAACTTGGACATGATATGTGCAATAGGACACTGACACCAGTGGCAACTGTGACTTTGGCTCAGTCATCTATCCTCACTAGGCTCAGCTTCTTGAGGACACTAGAAAATATAACTAATGTCTACTTCTAAAATCCCATTCCATGATTGATGTAACCTAGTTTAAGTTCAATTTAACAAAAATAGTAGGCAAAACCCAACTTAATCATCCTATTATAGTTAAGGACTGTTATTAGAAAGATTAGAAATTATTGTTAGGATAAAATTGGGGAGTATCTGTATAGATAGAGACTATATAGAGTGAGAGAATAAATTGAATGTGTCACTTTTGGCCTTCTATGATGGCCTCAGGGTCTTTGTTGCTTACAGAACTAATAATTCAATGATGACTAGTATAGGGTTCCTTTGACATCATTCAAGTGGTCTACATGCAGACTTCTGTTTCTAACTACATGATAATTATGTCAATAAATTAATTGTCCTCATATTGGTATGGTGTAAATATCTTTTTGTTGCTACTCTCCTTTGGACTTCCAAAACAAACCCAAACAAGTTGCCAGTTTTGCTCTTCATCTGAAAGGAATGTTATACATTTCTTACTTTTTAAAAATCAGCATAGAGTCTCAGACTATGGTGATGGGAGGGCTGACTGTCCTCAGGGCATTTAGAAGAGGGTTCCCTGAGGTTGTTCCCTAATATAAGAATCTCAAGGGGATGCTGGCAACCACCAAATCATTGAGAAAGTTGAGGTTCTTGAGTTAAAGGGCAAAGTCCTTCTATAGTACAAGAAAAGTACCTGGTTCTTGAGTTTGGATCTATTTCCTCTCTGGGTTTTGGCACTGAGGGTCTGGAGTGTTGTAACTGACCCATAGCTTTCTTCTTTGATGTATGTTTTTACCTCTTTGCAGGGCCAAGGAGATCTGCTGAAGAATGCCAAGAATGAAGCTATAGAAAACATGAAGCAGATCCAACTGGCATGCTTATCTTGTGGACTGAGTAAAACCGCAAGTGGCTGTGCCGAGGCCAAGAGCAAGCGCAGCCTAGAAGCCATAGAAGAGAAGGAGAGTGGTGAGGAGAATGGGAAGCTGTGACCCTGAGCATATTCTTCCTGTCAAAGACTCTGGGTTTTCCTTCTTTAGGCTTTTTAGAAATTCACTAAAAGTGACCCTCTGTGGGGAGCTGGACATAAACAGATATTTTCACAATGTCAGTATTTTAACATAGTTAATTTATCTAAATTAAAATCTTTAGTAGCAGTGTTTAAAATTCTGATTGTGTGTACGCACATGTTTAGATGTGTGTGTGTTTGTGTGTGTGCTTGTGAGAAAGACAGAAATAGAAAAAGAGAAATGACGAGAGATTTGTATTTGTGATGAGAGAAACAGAGAACTTGTTAAAATCTATTCTGTGTTGCAGTATCCATTTAGTAAATTATTATTTTATCATTTGGGGACAAATTTGTTAACGTGAAATTCTAGAGAGCACTTATATAACCTGTTGCTGTGTTTAATTTTACTTCTGTGCTTTTGTCATTTGATTTAGAGGTCTTACCATAGCTTACATTGAAGGAAGCCAAATTCACCAGTGCATAGATATTTTGATAGATTAATTATAGATTAGAAAAATTCCTAAGAAACACAATAGAAATAAGGGTGAGCAAAAGACAAATAAATGATCAGGATTGCTGAAAAGTTCAGCAAAGTCATTTCTTTAGTTAGTGAATGCTTGAAAATATTTACTAAACAAAAACAATTTTTAGAAAAATTTCTGTAGTTTCTAAATAGATATGATTTCATGGAAAAGCTGAGTATAAGTGAATTTAAGCTCACCTATGTGGTACTATGAACGTTCTGTTCTAATTAGAATTTTGAAGTGAAAATACTATTCAGTTGTGAAATTTCAAGATTGAGACTTGTAAGAAGCTCTCACTCATGCAAAATGGGAGTCTGGCATTCATTTTCTATAAAAGACATGGGCAGCTAGGAAGTCATGTCTTTGATGGAAATTGACTAAGAGTAAATTTAAAGACATTTTATAAATAATTCCATGTCATCATATTGAGCTGACATAAATTCTGTGTGTCAGATAACATCTTCATGGTGATTTAAGAATTGATTACAAAATATCTATGATCGAATTTTAACACATACAGGAACACAAAAGAAGCAAATAACTAATTAGGTATATTTATAATTGCATCAGATCATTTTTGCCCTAATATTTTCATAAAGTACTTGAGTGGAATATGTTTGTTACCTCCAACAGAACTAAATGTTCTATGATTATGAAAGTGTATTTATTTAAAACATTGCTTTTATTTTGAAAAGCTTCTAATTAATTTGATTAACAAATGTGCTAATTTGGGGGAATCTAGGGAAGATAATTGTTGAAATCTTGCAGATATAAACATCTTCTATAGCTACTGTGTTAAGTTATTTCTGACTTCTTAACACTATTATGTTCATGTTGCACATTATTGAAAGAGTAAAGATATGAAACAACATTTATTGTTCTCTCTTATTGTGAATTAGCTGATAAAGGAAAAATAATGTAAATGGGTTATTATATTTAAAAAAATACCTTAAAGGGTATATATGGCATTTCCATGGACAGGTATAATGAAATTACTTTTTAGATTGAAAACTGGATGCTTGGGGAGGTACATGGACTCACTTAAAGGTAAGTTTCCAAAGGTACTACAATAGCCTGAAGAAATTTCTTTACCCTGCTTTATACTTAATCTGCATGGTAGAAGAAATACAGGGATGCGGGGATCCAGCCTCTGATGACGAAAAAAAGGTGACCCATACAGGAACAAGACCAGTCTTGTTACTTCAGCCATCTGGTTGGTTTCACCTGTTGGCCTCTTCTCTTTTATTCTACCTGCAGAAATTTCATGCTTTTACCAGTGATATGGAGATGTAGGAAAGAAAGAAAAAGGGTGGCAAATTAAAAGAATACTCAGATTCAAATTCAACCTTTGAAAAATGGCTGACTTAGTTTCTGTTGTTAGTTCTGATACACCATCTCATACTTAGAACTTGTGCAAATTATGCATCCCCTCACCTTGAAAGTTCACATCATACCACTGTGCTTTTAGAAAAAACCCACTTTAGTGCCCCCCTTTTTTGCTAATTGCCAAACATCTGAAGAGAAGATTTTTCTTTTACAACTAAGTAAAGATTGCACTTGATGTTTATTTCTTTTTTTTAACATTCTTGCACTTAATGTTTCTCTTTTTTTTTTTTAGAATTTTTTTTTAAGATTCATTTATTTATGCATACAGAACTGGGGTACAGGCCAGAGGTATACAGGAGTGGTGAGAGGCTTCATTGGAGACAGAGTGGGGAGCAGAACAGGCCCAGTGACGAAGTACACTACTGAGGGAAGCAGCAGGTGGGCTAGGAGAGGTCTGCCACGCCATGTGGGTCACCTCCGGGGCCGAGGATTGAACTCATGCTGAAGTGGCTTTCGCTTCTTAGTGCTGCATTTACCACCAGTGAGGGCCCTAATGTTTATTTCTTAACAGCAAAATACATAGCACTGTGAAGTACTTCCTTCACCAAGGAGCTGCCTTACTTACATTATATATTGATCATATCACTCCTTTTACCAACTATTAGCAGTATTTTAGGTTTTATCTGCTATTTGGTAGATTAATTTTTGCGTCTGGTAATGCTCAAGCATTTCCCATAGCAGTGTAATGGCAATTGCATTTGACTGGACAGCTCTTCAGCTTACAGAATGCTTTCCTTGGTGGGCAGTGGGACAAACCTGTATTCCTGAAACCATGGCATGAATTCCACCTCGGCCAGTGCTACTTCTGGTGATGGGTTGTCAGCCATTCATCCCTTGCTCTACTGTCCTGGGCATCTTTGCAGGATAGGAACTGGGGGTAGACAAGGCAGGAGCTTTAGATTCTGAGAATGAAGACGTTGCGATGAAAAGACACCTATGATGGTCTTATCTCCGGGTGAAATAGCTAAAACAAACAAGGCATTTTTCCACATCATTACATTTTTTACAAGTATCATCTCTTTTCTGGATTTGAATTGCAGTAAATGAAACCAACTTCTACCCACTTAGCTTTTGGTGACGCTGGGAAGATAACGTGGTAGATATTACTTTTATTTTTCTTTATTACTTTTACATTACCAACTGGATTTGAGGTAGAGATAGTAGGTGTGATCACTGACATTTTATGGGTTAGAAAGCCTATAGCCTCTCACATAATAAATGTAATCAATACCTGATACTGAATTTTGGTTTATCTGCCTTAATGTATAAGAATATTTACTGAGTGATTTAATTTTCTTTTCAAAATTTTAAACTATTTATTAACCATTTCCATTATAGATTGAAAAAAGCTTTATATTTCCTGATTAAAAAATGTTAGTGAGAGGGCCCTCCCTGGTGGCGCAAGGGTTAAAGCACAGCACTGAGAAGCTTGAGCCACTTCCGCATGAGTTCGATCCCTGCCTGCCCCGGAAGAGATCCACATAGCGTGGCAGACCTCTCCTGACCCACCCGCTGCTCCCCTCAGCAGTGTACTTCGTCGATCTGCCTGTTCTGCCCCCTGCTCTGTCTCTGGTGAATCCTCTCACCCTCTGCATCTCTGGCCTGTACCCCAGTTCTATATGAATAAATAAATAAATCTTTAAAAAAATGTTAGTGTGACATTTTGCAAAAAGAGATGTACAAAAAATTAAAAATGACCCTCTATTAATATTTAGGTCTATACCACTTCAGACACAGCTTAGAGTTTATATGTGCATGTAACTATGCTTTGCTTTTAACAAAAATGAGATCATTTTATAAAAATCTATTTTGCAATAATGAATACAACACTTTATAGATATCCCCCTGTGTTAGTAAATGTATATGCACATTGACCAGTTTTTTAATTAAATCTAGTTCACAAGTGATATATTTTGTTTGGTCAATAAATCAAAAGTTTTTAAATGGTAGTCAACTTTTAAAAGTTAGAAAACCACATATGAACTTTTTCTTCCATTCAAGTACTGGGTATACTGACAAGACTAGACAGTTCTCTTCATCTCTTCCTTGGCATCAGTTAATTGGAACTACCCTTCAGAAAGGGCCAGACTTAATCCAGTTTGCCAGAGAACCACTGCCTTACTGTATGTTAAATCGTATGGATATCTTCTGTGGGGAGACTTGATTTCAAATCATTAATTGTAATAATACTGTGATGTCTCATTGTCATAACATATTTAGCCAATCTATTGTTAGATGTTCCTATCCTAATTTCTTCTTATATAAGCATTACAGTAATAATATCCATTTTTGCAAAGTTGTTCAGTTTTCATTGAGGATAAATTTTTAGAAGAGGAATTATTGGAACAAAGTGTGCATTTATTTTGAGTGTCAAGATATGACCCAGAAAACTTGTCACCTTTAAATTCCTACAAGAGCTTTATGAGAGTACTCAATTGTTTAATACTAGATTTGATTTTTCTTATTTTCATCTTTGCCAATATTACATCTATTTCTCTTTATTCTCTAAAGAGATCCAACACTTACTATTGCTTTCATTAATATAAAGATTTCACAGATTTTCTACTTTCTGATCATTTTGGGGTAGGATGGAAAATATTTAAAAATATTTTTATTATGTATTTTTATTAATATACTTAATCCTATGTTTGTCATGTGTTGCTAATGTCCTGTGATATACAGAACCTTAATTTAATCCAAGTTAACCTATTTTATATTGACTCTGCCTTCCTATGCTCATGAAGATGTTCTTTTGTCTGCTAGTAGCTTTCTTAGTTTACATTACACATTTAAATATGAAATCTCTCCCCTCCCCAGAATTGACTTTCGTGTGTGGTATAAGGGTTCAATTTTATTTTGTTCCTGACATGGATAATCAGTTGACCCTACCCATTTATTGTAAGACTGTCTGTATCCACAGCTCTGTAGTGCCAATTTATAAAAAATGAAGCATCCATCTATATGTATGTTTATTCAGGATTGTCTGTTCAGCTCTGTAGGCGTGTTGTGACCTGACAGCCTACTCTATTGTCTGAATTACTTAGCATCATAATGTTTTGATATCAGAAAGTGTAGGTTTCTCCATTCTCTTTTCCAACATTTTCTTGGTAATTTCCCCTTTTTACTTTTCATGTAAATTATTGGATTAAGTAATCAGTTTCTACCAGGCAGCTGCTGGAACTTTGATTGCTCTCACATAGGATTAGAATGTCATTTTGGGGGCATTCTGGCCTATTCACATTGTTGAGTGTTTTGAGCCATTTACATGATGTATTTCTCTATTTAGATTTTATATAATTTCTCTTAATATAATTTAATAGATGTCTGTATAAATGTCTTCATAGCCTTCACTAGGTTCATTATATAGTTGTGGTAATTCAAGGGCAGACCTTGTTAGATGGGATAAAACAAAGATCAAATAATGTGCGGTCTACAAGAAGTACAAGGTCACAAACAGGTTAAAAACAAGAGGATGTGGAAAGATACAACTTGTTAACATGAATAATTTCATTGTTCTATAAACTACCTTAGCTGTATCTTGTCAACAAAGTAAAGGGTTCAAGAATAATAAGTCATACAAGATATTTTAGATTTAAGTTATTGCCCATGTAAATTTAAACACAAGGAAGCTATAAGTAGACAACGGTGAAACTTTTTTGTCATATTGTCATCACGTTGACCATATTATTGGCATCTTGGTGACATGAGGTATAAATGGACTTCTAGGCTTTAAATAGTTTCTAAATTCTTTACAATTCAGAATATATTATTAGTATATTTTAGAGTTCATATGAATATATTCCTTATTGATACTTTGGAGATTGGTAGATCTGCTGCTGCTATACTGACTGAGCATTTTTCCATTTCCAGATATGGAAATATATTGCATATAAATATTGTCATCTCATCTGTGTAAACTTTTTCATAAAATAATGCATAATTATTGAGATATTGGGATTGCTAAAACAAAAGGCATACTAACAGCTCTTGGCACACTGCTTAATAGTTCTTTTTATCTGTCTTTTAAAAATGTAATCACAGATTACAGAAGTAATTCACAATTACTTCATGGGTACAACAAACCATTGACATAGGAAGGGATAACAATAGCTTTTATAAGAATATTGCACAGCATTTCTTATCTCTAAAGAAAGCATTGAGGCACTACTAAATGGAAAAGAATGTCATTCAGGTAAAACTCAAGAGCATTGTAACTGTTCGATGATTAGAGGTTTTGCTTAGTAGCTAATTTAATGTCTTATATTCTTAAAGTTCTCTTTATCTGTTTTACATAGAAGCTATTGCTGCTGTAGTCAGCATATACAGGAGAAGGGGTTTGACCTTGCAAGCTGGAGAATTTAAATTTTAGACTTTCTGCAGTGTCTTTCATGAGTATATTCATACCTAGGGCACCATGTATTCTGATTTTCCTTCATAAAATGCAATCTTTCCATGTAAATGGGATC